GGAGGAGGAGGAGGAGGAGGAAGAGGAGGAGGAGGAGGAGGAGGAGGAGGAGGAGCCGATCCTCCCCTAGCGAGGGCGCCGCGGGCCGGACGGTGCGCCGCAGTTTTGATGCTAGTGGGGGGCTTCGTGGAGCCGGAGGGCGGAGGGCACGGGACATGCACCGTAGCCCCAAGAGTTGCCGATGTTGCAAGAGGTGGGCGGCCGAGGCCGTCGCCTTCCCCACATCCGGGTCTTCGCAGCACAGGACCGCGCGTTCTCCCACGCTGACCGCGCCTTCCGGAACGCAGGGCCAGGCCTTTCAAACTAACCAGGTCTCCTGCATCGCGGCCATTCAGGGTTCGGGCGAACGGCACTGCGGGCAAACACACGTAGGGGGATCGATGCTTTCAGAGAAGTGGGCCGAAAGGAGTCCTGACTGGCCCCCAAGCTGCTGCCCCATGTCCAAAAGTTGCACGAAGGTCGCACGAGTCCTCACCCCCACGTCTTTTGATGCCCCCGTGCCAGCGAACACCCGACTGTTAACCCCGCTTGCTTTGCAGAGACGCCACAGCCGGTGCCTGGCCGTCATCGCGCCCAGCTGCAGGGCGGTCGCCATGGTGAACACGGGTCCTGAGGGAAGCATGTCCTCAGATTTGTGGCTGCTTCCCGGGCCTGCGGGGCCCCCCACGGGCCCCAGGACTGACAGACAGACGACTCAGGATGAAGATCTCGCGCCAGTGGGAGGTCCAGGCCCCGGGATCCAGGACCCGCTTCCCCGACCAGCCACAACTGGGGGAGCTGTGGTCCTTACCCCCCCGGGGGAACCCATCGCATCGACGATCTCTCGAGAGGGGTGCCGAAGTCGATGGGTCCTCCAGGGGGGTAAGGACCACGGCTCCCCCAGTTGTGGCTGGCCTGCTTGCCTCAGGACCCGCTTCCCCCAATGCTGCGGCGGCCCCTCGTGGCCCGCAGCGGGCCTGGCCGGCGGCCGCCCGCTGCCCGCGCGCGCGCGCCGCGTGGGCGGAGGCGGCGCTCGAGGCCGAGCGGCGCGTGGGCTCCGCCCGCGAGGCGGGGCGGACAAGGCGGGCGAGGGGGGCGGGGGGGGGGAGGCAGGCGGGGCTGGAGAGGGGGTGGGGCGAGGGGAGAAGGAAGGGTGAGGGTGAGGAGGAGGAGGAGGAGGGAGGGAGGAAAGGGGGAGGGGGGAGGGGAGCGGGGGCGGGGAGGGGGCGCGGAGAGGTGGGCGGAGAGGGGAAAGGGAGATAGGGGTGGGGAGGGGGCGGTGGGGGGAGGGGGGCCAGGGGGGAGGAAGGGGCGGGGGGGGGGAGGTGGAGGAGGTAGGGGGGGGAGGTGGGAGGGGCGGAGGGTAGACGGAACGACGAGGAGATAGGCGGATAAGCGTGTTTTTTTTTCCGCCTGCCCGTGCCTACCCGCACAGACCTCATCCTCCTCTCCGCCTTGGCCGCGTCTTTGCCCACGTCAGCATCAGTCAGCGCATGATCCTGCACAGGGCCAAGCCCGCCGCGGCTCCGCGCGAGTTACGGTGGCCGACGATCCCGGGGCGACGCCCGCCACGGCGTGTCGCCTGCCGGGGTGCGATCGGCATCGTGGTCTGCCCCACGACAGTCGGACAGATGTGTTGGAACGGCACCCAGCACGCGCAACTTTTTGGCAGCGCGCCTGCGGAAAGAAGGGGGGGGCATGTGTTCTCTCACCTGCTCTGCGTGTCCCTCCCGCTGCTGCTGCCGCCCCTACCGCCTCTACCCCCGCAGCCTGGCCAAGCACGAGCTGCGACGGCTTCCTGCAGGCGCTGTTGAACTCAGCGAGTTCCGCTGCCGCTTCTTCACCAAACGGCTTCAGAGGCTGCTCGAGATGGGAGAAAAAACAGGCCACCGTGACACCTCTATCTAGCGGCCTTCGGCCCAAACGCGCAGAAGGGTCGCTTCGGTTGCCTCACCGAGGCCTCCTGACGGGTTCCTGGGGGCCTGTCGGGGGCCTCTTGGGTCCTCCTGGGGGCTTCTTGGGGGCATCGTGGGGGCCTGGGCGCCGTGGAGGCCTCTTGCGGGCCTGCTGGCGGTATCGGGCGTAATCTTAGGGCAGAGGTCTCGACATGTCAGTCAGTATGCCCTCTCTTGGACCTCTCTCGGGGTCCCGTTGTGCCGTCTTGGTGCCCGCTTTGGGGTTCCGTGGGACGTCTTTGGGCGATCTTGAGGGCCTCTCAGACCGTCTTGCATCGTTGAAAGACAGACAGAGACGAAACGTTGAACTAACGGGTAAGCAATTCATGTAAATCGATACGTGTTGCGTCTTCGGACCCTGGTGGGGGTCCTCTTGGACCCTTCTGGGAGGAGGCGCGAGGAAGAGCGGGGGGAGGAGGGGCGGCGACGACGACGAGGCAGGAGGAGGGGGAGGAGCAAGGAGAACGCGGTGGAGGAGGGCAGGCGGACCGTGTTATTCGGCAGGGGGGGGGGCAGGGGCACCTTCCTGGCCCCCCACCCCGTGGGGAACCTCCTCCCCTCGGCAGGGAGTGGACCACAGGGAAGAGGCATCCTTCGGGCTTGATGGCGCTCCACCTGGGCCGGGGAGTTGGGGGCGAGCTCCCTCCTGAGCTTGGGCTTCGCCGGGATCGCCATGCTGGACTTTGCAGGGGTCGCGCTCGGCCTCTCACGCACCCCGACAGGGTCGGCGAATTTTCCCTCCGGCGCCGGGAGGCGCCGGGAAAATCAGCTACGTGAGCTGATTCTCACCCCCCCCCTTTGCTATCCCCCCCTTTCGCCCGACCCTCACAGTCAAGACATCGAGAGATGGACGTCTCATTCTCTGGTGGAAACTGGCGACGGGGGCGGCTCAGCCGGCAGAAGGTCGGCGGAAGCTCCCCCCGCGGGAAGAGAGCTCAACGCTGGCGGAGGCGGCCGTATGGTCGGGATGATTCCGTGACGTTCAGGAGCAGACTTCTCTCCAGAATGACATCGTCCACAGCATGCTTGGAGATTCGGCCCAGGCGGCCTGAAAGGCTTCAAAGCCATGCCTCGTTCGTGTTAGAGTGTATGGGCGCTCTGTTGGCGCGCCGCTCGGGATGGATGGGAGTCGGCTTCAGTGCATGATGCGGATTGCGGCGACACGTTCGATACGCCTCCCCTCTATGAATTCGCACTGGTTGCTGAACCTGCCACGGGTGCCACACACCATGAAGCGACTTTGCCAATATCACCGGGAATATTATATAGTTACTCACTAAGGGCTGAGGGGTTCTGCATGGCATCTTGCCAGAGCTGTGGTCAGCAGACACCGAAGAGCAGTCTCAGCATGCCTCGGCCAAGACAATGCAGACGTATGTGAATTACGTGGTTGCCTTTGGCTCATCCCGCCATCGGGCCTGGGTCTCAGACAAGGGGCCTCTTGGATGCCTCTTGGACGCTCTTGGCACCTCTTTTCGGAGCCTCTTGGAGGCTCCTTGGAGGCTTCTTCGGGGCATGTGTGGGGCGGCTATCTCTTGCGGGTCTCTTGTTGCTTGCGATGGGCCCCATTGATGACGTGTGATTTCGTGTGCTTTCCTCTCGGCTTCCTCTTGGGGACCTCTGGGCATCTTGTGCATCTTTTTGGTGGGGCCTCTTGGGCCTTCGTTGTGCCGTTGCCTTTCGGGTCCGGAAAGCGGAAATGCGAAACTCATTGACAACCAATTGTTGTTCAATGGTTTTTGGCCTCTCTGGCCAGCTTCCAGAGCCTCCCAGACGGCCCGCGGGGCATTTAAGATAGTCATGTTAGATCATGGTGGAGGCCGCAGGCCATCTCAGAGTGTTGCAGAGCTTGCGAACCCGCAGCTCCGCCCCCAGGACCTGAAGTTACGCGGGCATCCCGGGAGCGCTTCGGAGCATCCGAGACCCTCCCGAACGGGGATTTGGTTCCGTAAAGGTTGTTCATTGTGTTTGAGGGGACGTGAGTTAACTCCACTTAGTGCCGACGGCACGGTGGCGGACTCTTCAGATTTCGTCTGGAAGGTATACGAGGTAAATTGTTCAGCCAGTGATATCGTGAAGAAGTGCGGAGTCATTGATCTGGAGTCATGCAGCTACCCGTCCGTCGCAGACGTGGACATACACGATACGTTTGGTAAGTTGAATTGTTGCGTCAGTTACGCCAACAAGGCGAGAGGGAATCAAGATGTGGGCATCAAGGGTGTGACATCCAGTAATCGAGTGTTTGGGCATTTTCGATTTTCGCAAGTGTACCTGTAATATTTCCAGGCATTAAACTTACATCAGCATTCCGAATTTCTGTCTGGCGTAGCCCGAGGTTCTCGTTCGGGCCATCTCGCCTCGCAGTTGCTGCAGTATCCCCGCGCACGTCTTTACCAGACAGCTATGTTCACGAAAGACACGTCTTTACTTAAAAAGGGACCGGATGGCATATGGACTTAGTGTTGGTGCCTTTTGATGTGAAGTCTGGTGGTTACGTCATTTTCTGGTTCCCATCGGACGCCGGCTAGACGGCATACAACGTTCAATGCTCATGTTTTCTTCTGGGTCGCAGCGTGTTGGTATAGCCCACCTGCCAGCTGGGATAGTCTGTTGGCAGAGCGTTTTGTCACCGAGATGGCGCTCGAGCTCGACGTCGGAGATTGCACACTGTCCAGCACGGGTGGACGGTGCATGAGTAAAGCACACAGGCAGGATACTGATTTTGGAGCACGAAGCGCGCTTGCCTTCTCGTAATTCCGTTTCGGCAGATGCCATGCCGCCGCCAGATCTGAAAGGCGCTGGGCGAGCAGACAGCCGTTCCAGGTATACGATGTGTTATCGTTACGTGACTGGTTTTATGATATGCCGCAGTTCAAATCTGTGGACCATCCGTTGATGCCTTTGGACTGCGGGCCTTCTGAGTCAAACAGTTGACATATGGCGAAGTGGCGCTGGAACCGCTCAAGTAGTGTCACAGCAACTCATGACTTTGTTGTTCGCTGATGGTTTGCCACAGCTCTGGCCAGTAGCCAATATGATGCTACCCTTGGCTTTGGGACCTTGGTAACAACACGTTGCAAAACATGCATGATGGAATAGAGCTTGCTGCCCTGGCGTTGGGCCTGCCACCTCCTGTCCATCTCCGCCGCCCCCTCCCATCCCCCTGCCCCGTCCTCCGTGCCCCTCCCCTTCTCCCCCCCCTATTCCGCGCCCCCTGTCCACGGGCTCCCTTGTCCTGCGAGTCGTGCACGTGCGTGTTGCTGGACCCCCTCTTCCTGTGCACGGCAGCTCGAGTTCGTCGGCGTCGTCGTGTGCCTCGAGGGTCGAGGTGCTGGTCGAGACTCGCATCGCGAAGGAGGCATCTCCACGTGCGGGGGGTCGTGTTGCGCGCGGCGCTGCGCGGGCAGGCTGCCGCTCTTGGCCTCCCTGCCTTGTTGGACTGGGACGGAGAGGTGCCCGCCGGTGTGCTGCGGCAGGGCCTCGGGCGGCGGGCCCCCCCCCCAGAGGACTTCCGCACCCGTCGTCGGAGGATCCTCGGATCCCCCGGCCGTGGGGTTGATTTCGCAGGCCTCGCGGCCACTTCTGCCGACCCCCGAAGGGCGATCTCCTCCTCCTCCCTCTCCTCCTCCTCCTCCTCCTCCTCCTCCTCCTCCTCCTCCTCCTCCTCCTCCTCCTCCTCCTCCTCCCCATGAAGGTCGCGGGCTCGTAGAGGCTCGTCGGGGCCTCCTGGGGGCGTCCTGGAGGCCTGAGAGGGGGGTCGTCGGAACCCTCGGATGTGGTGTCCGTTTGTCGGTCACGCGATCGGATCCCATGGCGGGTGTCTTCGTGGTCAGATGGAAGGGATCGCCTGGAGGTGTCCTGTGTCTTTGATCGGGTGATCGCGATATATGCCAATCGTTTCCCCAAATGTGTGGTCGAATGGCACGGCCCCTAAACGATTTCCTAATGTGCGGTCGTATGGCAGGGCGCCAAGCAACAGGATGTTAGCGATAGGGTCTCATTGATAGGGGCTCGTTGGTAGCGTGTTTCGCACAGACAATCGAATGGCTTTCGTTCCATCCCGCCACCGTGCATGTTTCTTGGGTGTCTTCGGGGCCTCTTTGAAGACTCTTGCAGGCCTCTTGGGGTCTCTTGGGGGCCGCTGGGGGCCTCTTGGGGGCATCTTCCGGGCCTCTTCGAGGCCTCCTGGGGGCATCCTGGTGGCCTCTTAGAGGCCAGCCGGCAGTCTCGGGGATCATCTTGGGGCGGAGGGCTCGACATATCAGTTTGTGTTCTCCCTCTTGGGCCCCTCTGAGGGCCCTCTTGGGTCCATCTTGGGCCTTCTCGAGGTTGCGTACATTAGCTTGCGTATACGGTATGCGGTGCATGGCCTGTGCGTACGGTGGCGATACAACACGTATGCGGTACGTCCTGTGCGTACGGATGTTTCTGGTGTGCACACGTTTGCGCCCGTTGTAGTCACGTTGCGTGTGTGCGCGTGTTTTTACACAGGCCTTTGGTGGACACAGGCCCGTGCGTGTACAGCCCGCGCCGGCGCACACGGGCCTGCGTTGTCTAGTGTATACAGAGTTTGGAGGCACGTTTGTGCATGTCGTGTGCCCAAGAGTTCGCCAATGTATTGCACATAGTGCGTAAGGCTGCGCGTATGCGTACACTCCGTGTGGTGTACACGGGCTAGTGTTGATTCGTATAACCCTTCCATGTACACAAGTCTTCAGTCAGCCAACGGCCTGCGTGAGCATACATTGGCGGGTTGTGCGCGCAGGCCTTTGCGTAAACGAGCTACAGCTATCGGTGCAGTCAGAATGATGTGTTTGCGATGTGCACAGTTCCGTGCTTGTGGTGTTCACCGGCGGGTGCCTCCTATGTTCAGAGCCTAGCTTGTGTGCGCGCACAGACCGCTGGCGGACGTAGGCGTGTGATTGGTGCTTGTGGCTCACAAGTCGTGTACCATTCAAGCCACTGTGGTGCACACGGGCCTGTGTGTCCTGTGCGTGTATGCGTGTGCGTTTCGGCGCGGGTGCAATGCAGTTTGCGTGCCCCGCTTGTTGCAGACGCGACCATGGTCCACGTTGCTCGCGGATGGAAAGGGTGTGTAGTTTGCGCTCTTCTCCCTCCGTGCGGTGCCTGTTTCTTCCCTCATCCCTCCTCGTCGTCCTCCTCCCCCCTCCCCCCTCCTGCACGCTTCCCCTCTCCCACATGGCCGCCCCTCTGGAGGCGGTGACCGTGGAGTATGCCCCCTCCGCCCCCTCCGTGGGGTTGCTGGGCTCGCGCGTCTCGTCCGAGCCATGGTCGCCAGAGGACGGCGAGGCCCCTGGGGGGAAGGGGGGGGGGGGATTGAGGAGGAGGGGGGGGGAAAGGGGGGGGAGAGGAGCAAGAGGAGGAGGAGGAGGAGGAGGAGGAGGAGGAGGAGGAGGAGGAGGAGGAGGAGCAGGAGCAGGAGCAGGAGCAGGAGCAGGAGCAGGAGCAGGAGGAGGAAGGAGGAGGAGGAGGAGGAGGAGGAATAGGAGGAAGAGCAGTGGGAGGGAGAGGGGCAAGAGGGCGAGGAGGAGGAGGGGGAGCCGTCCTCCTTGTCTTCATTATCATCATCATCTTCACTCACTTCCTCCTCTTCCTGGTGGTGTTGCTGCTTCTCCTTTTTCTCCTCTTCATCGTGATCCCCCCTGTCCTCGTCGTGCTGCTGCTGCTGGTCGTCCTCCTCCTGCTGGCTCTCCACTTTCCCCCTTCCCCTTCGACTTCCCCTGCTCGCCAAGGCTGGGGTTGGGAGCCTCCGCCCAGCCCACCTGCGCCCCCATTCCTCGTACTTGGCGTAGCGCGAGGCTCAGAGGGTGCTGCGCCGAAGGCCCACGTGGTGCTACAGCCTGGCCCCCCCTCATTCGGAGCTTCCGTCCAGCAGACCTGGTGCGAGCGGGGGAGCCAGGCTAACTCGTTTGTGTTCCTCTCAGGCCGAGGACTGCATGTCGCCTGCACAGGTGGCATAAGCGTTGCCGATCACAGGGCACGAGCCGCCCTCGGTGGGAGGTCGAGGGCTGTTTCGAGGAAGGGGAGGAGAAGGAGGAGGAGGAGGAGGAGGAGGAGGAGGAGGAGGAGGAGGCGGAGGCGCAGGCGGAGGCGGAGGCGGAGGCGGAGGCGGAGGCGGAGGCGGAGGCGGAGGATGGGAAGAGGGGGAGGGATACATAATCAGGAGGAAGGGGGAAGGGTAGGAGGGTGAACACGAGGATGGGAAGCAGGCAGATGTTCGCGAGGAGGAGGGGAGGAGGGTGGGCGATGGGAGGTGGAGGGACGAAGAAGCGGAGGAGGAGGAGGAGGAGGAGGAGAAGGAGGAGGAGGAGGACGACGAAGAGGAGGAGGAGCAGGAGGAGAAGGAGGAGGTGGAGGAGGAGGAGGAGGGGCAGCAGGAAGAGGCGGGGGAAGGTGAAGACTGGCCGCCCGCCCGCCGAAGGCCTCTGAGCAGTCGGACTCCCCGCGCCAGGCCGCCGGGTCCTCCAACGGCAACGCGCGGCTGCGCGAGCGCACCCCGCCACGGGCCCCGCATTACGACCAGCCGCAGGCGCGGCCACCGCCGCGGCCTTCGGCGGCACTTCGGCGGCGGCCCCTTCGGCGGCCACTCGGCGGCTTTTTGGCGGCCCACGAGCAGCGGCCCACGAGCAGCGGCCCCGTCGTCCTCCTCCGCCTGGACCTCCTCCCCCTCCCGCTCCCGAAGGTCGTCCGCGCCTGGCGTCGGTCTGGCGCGGCGCGGCGCCCGCTCTCGCTTTTTTCTCACTGGGCAGGCTCACAGCCCCTCCATGTCCTCCCTATCCATCTCCGCCTCCTCCTCCGCCTCCTCCGCCTCCTCCTCCTCCTCCTCCGTCCCCTCCTCCGTCCCCTCCTCCGCCGTAGCCTTTGTGGCTCAAGGCTCCGCCCTCTCGTGCGAGATCCCCCGTTTTGCTTCGTCATTCTACCTCCACCGTCTCTCATGGCTGCTCCGGAGGCTGCTCCGGAGGCTGCCGCGCTCCTGTCCGACGCGCACGGCCAGGCGCTCCGCACGGCCAGGCGCTCCGCTTAGTATGCATGCGCACCCAGCGGCCTTTCCAAGGGTTTGGCCACGCGAGCCGAGTGCTGAAGCAGCTGTTCGGAGGTGGATAGACCTCCTACCCTGACACGTCGATAAAGGAATTGGCCGTTTTCGGTTCGCGAGAGGGCGTCGCGGCCGTCATTTTTGCGGGTCCAGGTCCGTCGGCTTCGGTCCCAGGCCGTGTTCACTGAGGGGAGGTTGACTAAAGGGAGGCTTGTCCACCGCCGAGCTGCCTCAGCGAGAGCGCCGGCACCTGCAACACTTGGACTCCGCGTTCGCTCTTATCGGGCACGTCACAGAGCCCTTTGTTCAGGACTCTCTCGCGGATCCTGGGGATGCGCTGCCCGTCAATTACTGCGAGCCGGAATCCCAGCTAACTACCTCTACCAAGGGATGATTCTGAACACTCCAGTGGCATTTCGAGTTGTTCGGTCGAGCTTCCGGATGTTCCAGCTTTTCCGGGCATCATTGCGGAGGATTGTTCGCCCTCATGCGGGCAGCGCGGCATGGCCAGCATGGAGTTTTTTGACATCTCCGACGCTTTCGTGGACGTCGCCGTCCAGACGATGGACACGGTCGCGCCCAAGGCCTCTGCCATGGTGATGTGCGGCTCCCCAGCTGAGGTCGTCAATGTCGGCATGCAGCAGGTCAGTAGTGAAGTCCGTGATCGACTTGAGGCCTTCGCCAGTGCTGTGCAATCGACTTCTGCGCACATGGGGCACCAGGGCGTGACTGAGGGCGACCTCAGCTTGGCGGAGAGCTTCACGTGCGACGTCCAAATGAGTGACCCCGTGCTTTTTTTCGAGCGCAAATTGGATGAGGCCAAGCAGTTCACGCAGCAGCTGCTCGACGAGTTCCGCGCGCCTGCGCCGTGCTGGCCGACCACTGCGCGGAGGATTGGCCGGGTAACCACCACTGTGTCCGGCTGTATTTCATTATTTTGGACCAGCCTTTCTCTGATGACGAGTGGAGTGATGGTTGCACCTAGCCTCACTTCCGCCTACCCCGCCCGCCCGTCGGCCGGTCGCCCCTCCCTCTGCCTCCCCGTTCGTTGCTTTCTCTCCCTTGCCCGCCCTGCCCGTATTTTTCTGTTTCGGGTTGGCCTTGCTGTGCCTTGTGGTTTACGGATTTCAATGCTTCCTTGAGCAGCAGCGGATTTCTCTCACCCCTCGGACGGGTTCTCGTTCGCGTCTCTTGCTCTTAACCGCCCTTCTCTGGATGGCCAGTGTCGCTCCTCCTCCTCCCCCTCCTCCTCCTCCTCCTCCTCCTCCTCCTCCTCCCTCCTCCCACCCTTCCTTCTCCTCCTCCTCCTCCTCTTCCTCCTCCTTCGCATCCTTCTCCTCCTCCTCCTCCTCTTCCATTTCTTTTCCTTATAAATGATTTCTCCCTGTCGCATGCCGAGGCATGTTTTTGGGCGGGCCGGGCCTTTCGCATGAGACGTCCTCACAATGTATGAGTCTGAAGCTTAAAGTATGGCAACAGTTTCACGGATTGAGGGCGGGTGGTTTTCAAAATTTGGCTCTCGATTTAGCACCGCGCACATTAGTTCAATAATATGAAAGAGTTTCCATGGATTGAGGGTGGATGGTGTTCAACATGTGATTTTCGCATTCGTGCCGTGCGCATTCGCTTCTTTAATTTGCGAGAGTTTCACGGATTGAGGGCGGCTCCTTTCCGAAAATGAGCCTTTCGCCTTAGCGCCGCGCAGTTTTTTCCATTTGCAAGAGTTTCACGGATTCCCATGATCAGCGTAGCAGAAATGGTGTTCCGGTGGAAAGATTCAGGATTATGAGGTGCGACAGTTACATTGATTCACGGTGTTGCAGTCCCAGGAATGGTTTCTGTCACGATTCAGGATTTCCAAGACGCAACATTCAGGTTGATCCGTGGCGTTGGAGTCCCGACGATCATGTTTTCGCATGCTTCAGGGTCTTCAAACGGTTGTCTTCCAACGAGGCAGTTGTTTCAGTGGTAATGAACCGCTGTAGGGGCCTATGACGAGGAAGGTTGGAGGGATGGTTTATTCCAACATCGTTGATGACTCTTGGGTTCGCACTGGTCCTCCTCCTCCTCCTTCTCCTCCTCCTCCTCCTCCTCCTCCTCTTCCGGCTCCCTTTTCGTCCCCTGACTTCTCCATCTCCCCCTCGCGCAAAGAATGGCCACCACCTCTTCCTAGCCCGTCTCCAGTCCCAGCTGTGTCTTGAGCTGCTCTGCGCCGCCGACTTCCTGCATTGGTGGCCCGTGTGCGTGTAATGGCGATATCCAGTTAAGCGGTGTCCGTGGTGCGGTAGGAGTTGTAGTCGTATGCGGAGCTCGATTTGACAGCCGATTTCTTAGTTGACCTTCGCTCGGAGCTGACTGACGTCTAGTTGTAGTTCCTTCTCGCCAGCCGGGATCTCCCAGGTCCTCGCGATCCCCTCATCGTCCTTGAAGTTCTCGAGCTTCTCGTCGGAGAGGTCCTCCTCTGGAGGTCTCCAGTGGCTCCCCGAGGGGCCCCCCCAGGCCTCTGGAGGTCTGCAGAGGCAGCTGCCTCCGGAGGCCAAACGAGAGCCGAGAGCGTGGGACAAGCTCGACCCTCGATCCGCCCTTCCCTCGAGCGCAGCGCACTGTGGAGCGCCCTCGGGCGCTCCCGGCAGCCTGGGAAGCGCAGCGGCATGCGGCCCCGGGTGCTGTCACCGCGGGAAGCCGGCTGGCGTGCGCCTTCGGGCGACACCGCCAGCCTGGGCCCCAGAGGGGATATCCTCACACAGTGGAGGCTCAACTTGTGATCTGGTGATCGTTTTCTGATGCACTATGTTGCCGACCGGCGCGGGCTCTCGCCCTCCCCCCCGTCCCCCCCCCCCCCGCCCTGGAGTAGATCTTGGCTGTTTTTGACACCTATTTCGAACAGGTGGAGTCTCCCCCATAGGATGCACTGCTGCCAACAGTCCCACTAAGCAGAGGTCCAGAGCCAGACCCCCCCCCCTGTCCCCCCTCCCCCCTTCCGCTCAACGTCGACTTTAGAGGCTCACCACCGAAAAACTCACCCCAAGACAGGAGCAGCGGAAAGGCGCCAGCCAAAAGAAATCAGGACCACGAGGCAACAGCGATGGACCGACGATTTTCGGCCCTGACAGATGATCCGGGTGCCGCCGAGAGCGGCGGCTTCCTTTGCTGAAGTCCAGAGGCGGGCTGGCTGGGCGACGGGCACAGCGGTTGGCCCCGCTCTGAACTCACAATCCCCAATACCGGGAAAGGAGGCAGAAAAGTACGAAGACGAAAGAAGGGAGGGAGGGAACAGGGAGAACTTGAGACGGAGAACACATGCATAACACGTTATACAGACGGCGCATCTGCTGCTCCCCGCCCCCCCCCGATGTCCAAGGTAAAGGTCGGGGGGGGGGAAGGGGTGAGAGGTGGAGGCCCGAAAAATTCATTGTATCTTATACAACACACATTTAGAGGCTCACCACCGAAAAACTCACCCCAAGACAGGAGCAGCGGAAAGGCGCCAGCCAAAAGAAATCAGGACCACGAGGCAACAGCGATGGACCGACGATTTTCGGTCCTGACAGATGATCCGGGTGCCGCCGAGAGCGGCGGCTTCCTTTGCTGAAGTCCAGAGGCGGGCTGGCTGGGCGACGGGCACAGCGGTTGGCCCCGCTCTGAACTCACAATCCCCAACCCACCGCTGATACGCACAGCGCCTGGATGATGTGGCCCAGGGCTCTGGGTGGGCGGGGTTGCCACGTCAGCCGAAATCATTCTGCCTCCGCCAAACCAAAAAATCAAATGAGTAGAAGCATTCACTCTCGCGCCATCTTTGGACGCGGTGCCTGTCTGGCCAAGAGCTCACAGCCACGAGCCATCACGGCGGCAGGCACAGCCGCCCTTGCGGCCACCAAGGCGTGCGTCTTCATGTAGCGCAGCACCGACTTCTCCGAAGCCCAGCGGCCCCGCCGCTGGATGGCCCACACCGTCCGGTAGCCCTCCGCCGCGTCGTGGCTGGGGCCAGAGTGCCTCGCGGAGTGGGCGGGGAAGGCGGCGATGCCGATGTCGTCACTGGCCTTCCGAAGGGCCCGACGGTAGGACTCCACCGAGCAGCCGAAGACCAGCTCGCCCGGCTTCTTGGCGGCCTTGCGCGCCCGCAGCATGTCGGCGATGTGCGGGCGATCAATCAGCACGCCCTGCCTCACTCCCGTCTTGGTGCGCTCGTTCCGCTCCTGCACTCCCAGCTTGATGGCCACCACGTCGTTGTCGGCGTCCACGATGTCCTCGACCCGCAGCGAGAAGACCTCCGCCGAGCGCAGGTAGGCGTCGACCGCCAGCGCTGCTGCATCTGCTGCCTCCACGGCCCCGGCCAGCCTCATGGCCTCGTCCAGGGCGGCCCACACCTCGAGCGGCTGGGGCCCACCCTCGCCGGCAACGTGCATATTGTGCCACGCCCGCAGAGCGCGGTTGGCGCGCGGAAGGCCCGTAGACAGCTCAGGCCACACGAACGCCATGCCGTGCACCAC